GGTCTCTCAGCGCCGCCTGCTTCCCGAATCTGTACCCTGCTGCTATCCAATGCAGCTCCTCGTCCCAGTCTCGCTTCCTCTTCTCCCCGTACGCTCGCAGCCCCCGTTTCAAGGTCTGCACCAGTCGCTCAGTCAGTCCATCGCTCTGTGGGTGATACCGTGACGTCCGCCTGTGGGTGATCCCCGCCTCCTCCAGCAGCTTCTTAAACTCCCCTTGAAACTCTGTCCCCTGATCCGTGAGGACCTCTGCACATGCCCCGGACCTGCACACCACCTGCTCCTTGAATGCTGCTGCCACGTGTCGGGAACTCTTGCTCGGGATCGCTCGCACCTCCAGCCACTTGCTCACATGCTCAACCATGAGCACGATGTACTGCTTCCCCCCACGGCTCAGTGGCAGCTCCCCCGCTAAGTCTAAGGACCATCGGAAGCCCAGGCCTCGGATGGGCAGCGACTGCAGCTCTGCCTTAGCTTGGGTGAGGTTGGCCCGGCTCCTCTGGCAGGCCTCACAGCCCTCCACCCACCCCTTTACTTTCCTCCGCATTCCCTCCCACCACCACCCCGTCTTCAGCAGCTGCACTGTCCTTTCGTGCCCAAAGTGCCCTAGCTTGTTGTGGACCTCCTTAATCACGGCTTCTCTCTCAGTTGGAGCCGGCACCAGCTTCCATCCGTCCTCTGTCTGCACCTGCAGCTGCTGCTGGTACCACCTGTAGTGCTGGCCTCTCGCCCTCACCCGGGCGGGCAGCACTTCGTCCTCTCCTGTTTCTCCCTTCACCCATCGCATGGCCGGTCCGTCCTCCCAGATATCTGCTGGCCCCTTCCCCTCCTTAGCCCCATTCAGCTCTACCAACCTGGCCAGCATCGTCAGGGTCACAGTGGGCTCGAGCGGTGGGGGATTCCGAGAAAGGCCATCTACGTGCTGCAGTGTCTTTCCTGGCCGATGCCTGATCTTGAAGTCGTACTCCTGCAGCTTCATTGCCCATCTCGCATTCCTGCCCGTCAGTCCCGGGGTTGACATTAGCCATGTCAGGGGCTGGTGGTCTGTCACTAAGGTGAACTCCCTCCCCTGCAAGTACACCCGGAAATGCCCTACTGCCCACACGGCTGCCAACCCCTCCCCGATGTAGGAGCTGTACTGTGCCTCTGCCGAGTTGCAGCTCCTGCTCGCGTATGCCACCACCTTCTCCTCTCCTTCCACCTCCTGGCAGAGGATCCCCCCCATTCCTTGGCTGCTCCAGTCGGTGTAGAGCGTGAACGGCTGATCAGCCGCTGGCAGCTTGAGTACTGTGGCGGTCTTCACTGCAGCCATCAGGTCCTGCAGTGCCCCTTTCTGCGCTTCTCCCCACTCCCACGCCTTGTCCTCTCGCAGCAGCCCATTCAACACCGCTGCTCTCTTGCTGAAGTTGGGCACAAACCGCCTGTAGTAGCTCAAGAAGCCCAGCACCGCTCTCAGCCCCGACTTGTCCCTTGGCTCCCTCAGTCGGTCCAGGACCTCCACCTTGGCCTGTTGGATCCCTATCTGTCCCCCCTTGACCTCATACCCCAGGTACTGCACTGTCTGTTCCCCCCACCTGCACTTCTTCGGGTGGCAGGTGAGTCCTGCTGCTTCAATCGCCGCCAGGGTCCGCTCCACATCCTCCAGGTGCTGCTGCTCTGTGGTGCTGAAAATCACCACGTCATCTATGTAGCAGGCCGCGCACTCCACTCCCCGCAGCACGCTGTCCATGACCCTCTGGAACACTGCTGATGCGTTCCGCAATCCGAACGGCATGTACAACCACTCGTACAGCCCGTCTGGCCCATGAAAGGCCGTCTTCCTGATGTCCTCCTCCCGGATCCTGATCTGGTTAAACCCCTGCCGCAGGTCCAGCGTGGTGAAGAACACCCCCTCTGCCAGTTTGTCGAAGATCTCCTCCGCCATCGGCATCGGGTACCTGTCTGCTACAGTGATCTTGTTGAGTGCCCTGTAGTCCCCACACATCCTCCTGCTCAGCACCTCCCCTGTCAGGTCCCTCCTGGCCGCCATCACTGTGGGCGTGGCATACTCGGACTCCGACCTCCTGATCAGTCCTGCTTCCAGCAGCTCCTGAATCTTCACTTTGCAGATCTCCTCATCCCCCGGCGGCATCTTCCTCCTGCGTTGGAACACCGGTTCGGAGCTGCTCAGCTTCAGCTCCATCTCCTTCACCCTGCACCTCCCCAGTTCCTGCATGGTGAAGGCAAAGCACTTCCTGTGCCTGGCGAGCAGCTCCTGCATAGCCTCCTTTCCTTCCTTGCTCATTGCTTCCCCCACCACCCAGCCCTCCTCCTCCTTCTCCTGGCAGCTCCATGCACCTCGTGGCTCTGCCTCAGTCCTTCCCCTTTTCTCCGCTTGCCCCCAGCTCACTACCGTCTCTCGCCACATGCGCTGAATCAGCCATCTCATCACGTGGCCATCCATGGCATTCCCCAAGGCCCTCCTCCGGTCCGCCTCACTTGCCCCCGGCGCTGCTGTTGCATCTTCCCCATATCCCATAGCTAGCTCCCGCTCCAGTGCCGTGGGCTCCTCCCATCCCCCCTTCTTGTGGTCGTACACCATCCCCGGGCCCGGCTTCCCTTCCTCCCACTTATACCCTGCTGCCCCCACATACGCCACCAGCGTGGGCAGGGCCCTCCTCTCCTGCCCCACTCGGTTGCACTGCTCGTGCCTGCTGTAGCTCTTGCGACACACCGGTGCTGGGGTCCGCCCTGGCGCCAGTATGTCCTGCACCTTCCTTCCTGCTGCTCGCCTTACCCCTTCTATCTCTGCCTGCAGCTGCTCGGCCGGGATCACATTCTGCCAATACATCCTGAGCCTGTGCGCATAAGACCCCATTCTGGCCGCATCACAGCTCACCCCTGCACCCAGCTGCCCCCTGATCCTGTCCCTCACTAGTCGGATTGGCTCTCTGCTATCCCCCTCCAGGTCCAGGTTCTCCAGCAGGTATGCTACCCTACCCTGCCTCTCCTGCAGCCACTCCAGTATACGGAACAGATTGCCCATGAGCCCTGTCCGGTGGTCTTCTCCCCCCTTGCCCCTGCCTGCCCAAGACACCCCTTGGCATTCCCACCCTGCTACCAGCAGATCCACCTGCCCCCAGCTCGCCACTTCGGCCTCCCCTATGTCCTTCACATCGTGGACCGTCCCCCCCATCGCCTTACTGATCACCTCCTCACTCAGCAGGTCCGGGAATTCTGCCTGCAGCTTCCTGGCATGGTGCTCTGCTATCCTCCTCACCCCGAGCTCCTTCTCTACATATGTCCATCTCTTCACTGCTATCCCATTCTTCACCACCGCGGACAGCCCTGCCCCTATCCCCCCAAATAACTCCACCAGGTGGATGGGCTGCTGCCAATCACTCTGCCGCTGCGGCTGGTCCATCTCCCTCATCTTGGGCGCTCCTCCCTTCCTTAACGGCCCTCCCTGCTCCCCTGGCAGCCGCTCCCCCACGGCCTGGTAGGCTCTCTTCGGCTCCACCTTCACGAACCGCACTGGCAGTTCTCCCAGCGGCCCCTCCCTCTTCCAGTATCTAGTCCTGAACTCCACCCTCTCCGTCCATGTGCAGATGGTCATCCCTACCGCATACACTAGCTCGGTACCCACCAGCACATCAAAGTCCTCCGACTCGGAAATCCCACACTTCATGCGGATTTTGGTTTCATGTTCCCCCCCCGGCAGCAGCGTCACTTCTATGGGCGTCCGCGTGCATGGCATCCATTTCGGCTCCCCCCCTTCCGCTGTCATCACCAGCATCCCCTTGGCCACGTGCCTCTCCGGAGCCAGCAAACCCAGCCTCTCAGCCATCCCTTTGCCCAACATCACACTCTGCGCCCCTGTATCTATGATGGCCGTCTTCACCTTCACTCCCTCCACCTCCATTGCCCCCTTCTCAAGCAGCAGCACCGAGGTCCGGCATGCCAGCCTCTCTTGGGGATGGCGTGCTGGGGCTGGCTCCAGGGCTGACGCGGCCGGCTTCTCCCCCTTCGCCTGCTCCTTCCTTCCTTGCTCGCGCCTGCCGTCCCTGCCCCCGCTCCTCAGCCCCATTTCCTCCCTCCCCCTCCATGCCATGAGAGCACACTGCACATCCTGCTCCACCTCCTCCTCTCCCCCGTCCCCTGCGTACATTCCTGCCTCCGCCTCCCCCTTCAGCCCGGTTGCCCTCAGCTGTGCCTGCAGCCTGCTGATCTGCCGCTGCAGCTCCTCCGGATGCCTCCTACTCCCCCCTTCCCTCTGGTAGCAATCTTTCGCCTCATGCCCCTGCCTCTTGCAGATTTCACACCGGGCCGCATCCGGGCACTCCCGCTTCCTGTGTCCCGGCTTCCCACACCCGTCACAGTTCTTGCAGTCCCTGCGCAGATGGCCTGGCTGTCCACACCGGTGGCATGTCCTAGTGTCCGTCCCGGTCTCCCCCCGTCCCTCCGTCCTCCCTCCTCCTCCTGGTATCATTGCCGCCGCCCACGTGGGCCGCCTGCTCCTCTCTGCTGGCCTGGGAAGATACGCCTCAAACTTCCTCTGCGCGAGCTCCACCCTTCCGCCAGGGCAAACACCTCCTCCAGGCCTGCATCCGCCCCCAGTTCATACACCCTCATCCTCAGCCCCCCTCCCAAGGCCTCGTCCAAGCCCCCCAGGAACTTGCTGATGAGAAGGCTGCTGTCCGTGCATCTCACGTCCTCCGCCACATTTATCAGCCGGTTGTAGTAGGTCAGCAGTGATTCTGTCCGGCCCCTGCTGAACTCCTGGAACTCCCTTATGCGCTCGGCCGTATGCCCGGGGAATTGCCGCTGCAGCCGCTCCAGGAACGCCTCGGTGGGGTCCTCGCCGTACCTCCCTGCCCTCCACAGTAGCTCCTCCATCCTCATCCGGTAGAGCGTTTCCGCCTCTCTCTCCAACGTGTTCGGCAAGCTCAGGAAGAAATCTACCGGGTCCATGTGGTGCCGGTCGCAGCGGTACCGCACGTTCCCCACCTGCATGAGGTAGTTCTTCAGGGTCGGTCCTGCGCGCTGATCACCCGAGAATCTGGCGGGCACTTCTACCCGTGGGGTGCTGTTGCTGCCCCCCCGCCCCTCTCCCCATGCCTCGCTGGCCCCTTCCGACCGACCCCTCTCTGCTCCCCTCACCCGTGCCCTCTGCATGCCCTCCCTGGCCTCCCGTGCCCGCTCTGCCCCTCGCGCCAGAGTCCCGCCCTCCGTCCTGCTCTCTTGGCGGCTTCCGCCGGACTCGTACCGCCTCTCCCTCGACTCCCCGCGCCCCTCTGTCCGTCCCCATTGCACCGTCGGCGGTTCGTGCACCCCACGCCCCTCCCTTCTGCTCGTCTCGCGCCGTGGCCACCTCTCTGGCGACGGAGACCAGGCGTCCAGGTGCTCCCTCCAAGTGCGCGGCAGCTGCCGCCCTGTTGGTGCTCGCTCTCCCGCGTACTGCTCCCTGCGCGTGTGATGCCCGTCCGGCGAGCGGGACCAGCTGCAGTCTCTCCGCTCCCTCTGCCTAGTCCGGCTTGGCGAGCGCATGCTGCTACTGCGCCCACCTTGCTGCTGACCGTGCCGCTTCGGCGGCGTCTGCTCCGCCTCTTGCCCCCTGCCCCCGCGCGGCTGCTGCTGTCCTGCCGCCTGCGAAGCGCCGCCGCCCCACTCTCTCTGCTCCTGACGCTCGCCGCGTGGGCGGAACGCGCCCACGTGCCCTCTTTCGAAGCGTCGCTCCCTCTCCGCCGAGCGTGGCCCCTCCTCCTCCTCCTTGCTGCGCGGATTCGGCGCCCGCCCTGTTCGGCCACTCGTCTCCGGCCCACCGTGCTCCTGCCGTCCGGAGCTCTCTGTGTGCCGCCCGTCTCTGTGGGGCTCGTCACTATCGCGCGAGCCCGGCGGCAGAGCCTCCGATTCCGCGACCGCCGCCTGGCTCGTCTCCGGTTGCGTTCCCGCCGGCGTGAGGTCCGCAGCGCCCATTCCGCCCGTCTGCGCCTCCTCCGCCCCTTCTATTTCCACCTCCTCGTCTGACCCTCCCGATTCCTCCTCCTCGTCCTCCGCGCCCCGCTCCGGCGTCTCCTCCCGCGCTGCATTGCGCGGCGCGTCCGCTTCGCGAGCACCACTACCGCCGCTCCCTCCTTCTCCGCGGGAGTGCTCGCCGAACGCCAGCCACCGTCCCCTCTCGTCGCGACGTCGTCCGCGATCCTCCGAGGACTGGAACACCCCACCGCCGCGGTGGTTTCCGCCCTCCGCGCCACCTCCGCGTCCGCCCTCCTGGCGCCACTCATCTCGATCCGTGCGTCCGGTGCGACCTTCGTCCTGCGCCCGCGCCTCTGTTCCTCGCCCGTCCCTCACAGCAGGGACCCGATCGGCGCGGAATGCGGGACGGCGCGGTGATCGCTCCCAGGATCGCCCACGCTCTCGGGACGGCTCGCGCGGCTCCCGTTCGTCCTCATGTCGGCTATACGCCCTACCCCACCGTAGCTCGTACCGATCCATCTAGTTCGTGCTAGGAAATCACAGTCCTAGCCTCCGTACGCTTACTCGTAAGATATGAAAGGGTCTAATCTCTCACCCCGTAGGTTCCCTCTTAGTGTCAACCGAATTCACTAGTTCAAGAGAATATCTTACGAGTAAGCAAGGAGGGGATGAGAGGGAGCAGCCTTACCCCACCCCAAGCTGCACGTTTCCACATGTGCGGCTCGGGTGGGGTGTTACCACTTTGAGATGGTTTCGCCCCTCGAGGCTTTTCCCTCCCAAATCCAACCGCCCTGATCCTTTTCCCCCCTTCTACACCCCTTCCCAACAGTAACAAGAGTTCCCTACTACACCTATTCCTACTTGTTGTATCATATTCATATAATCTACTTATCTTCCTAGCTTAATCATATCTAACCCAACCTGTCCCATCCTTCCACTGTTATTGCATGTGCATCACGTGCATATGCGGTGACACGTTTCCCCCGACGACTGCTCCTCTGCAGACCCTCCACATGGACGTGTGGGGCCCAGCCCGCGTTCGTGGACAGGACCGCGAGCGGTACTTTTTGCTGGTCGTTGACGACTACACGCGTTACACCACGGTCTTCCCCTTGCGCACCAAGGGTGAGGTCCTTGATGTTTTGATCCCTTGGATCCGCGCTGCCCGTCTCCAGCTCCGCGAGCGGTTCGGGACGGACTTTCCCGTCCTGCGTCTGCACTCTGACAGAGGTGGTGAGTTTGCCTCTGACTTTCTGCGGGACTTTTGTCGTGGGAAGGGCATTCGCCAGACGTTCACGCTCCCGGCCTCACCGCAGCAGAATGGGATTGCTGAGTGCCGCATTGGCTTAGTCATGGAGGTCGCTCGTACCTCCATGGTCCATGTGGCTGCCCCCCATTTTCTGTGGCTGTTTGCGGTCCGATACGCTGCACATCAGCTCAACCTCTGGCCCCGTGTCTCCTTGCCGGAGACCTCGCCCACACTGCGTTGGACGGGGAAGGTTGGCGATGCGTCAGTGTTTCGGGTCTGGGGTTCTCGTGCCTTTGTCCGCGATACTACCGCGGACAAGCTCTCCGCCCGTGCTATTCCCTGCGTCTTCCTTGGCTTTGTCCCTGACGCGCCTGGCTGGCAGTTTTACCACCCCACCTCGCGCCGTGCCCTGCCCTCTCAGGACGTCACGTTCGACAAGTTGGTTCCCTTTTACCGTCTCTTCCGCAACCGCACTGCCTCTCTCCCCCCCCCGCCGCTCTTCCTTGCACCAGGTCCTCCTCCGGTAGACCCCCTCCCCCCTCAGGGTCCTGCTCCCTCAGGTGTGTCCCAGGTAGACGCTGTCGAGCATGTCGAGGTAGCGGTTGACTCTGGTGCTGCTGCTGGGGGTGGTGCTGCTGGGGGTGCTGAGCCTGAGTGTGCGGAGCCTGGGGGTGCTGAGCCTGAGCGTGTGGAGCCTGGGGGTGCTGAGCCTGAGCGTGTGGAGTCTGGGGGTGCTGAGCCTGGGGTTGCTGGGTCTGAGGGTGCGGAGTTTGGGGGTGCTGAGCCTGGGGGTGCCGAGTCTGGGGGTGCTGAGCCTGGAGGTGCTGCGCCTGGGGGTGCTAAGCCTGAGGGTGCTGAGCCTGCGGTTGCTGAGACTGGGGGTGCTGAGTCTGCTGGAGTTCCTGCAGGTGCCTCGTCTCGGCGGGAGCCTCTCTCTCCACCGGAGCTGCGCGAGTGGTTTGCTCGCCGCTGGAGACTCCAGCAAGGTGCTGCTGGAGCTGGAGCTGCTGGAGGTACTGCTGGTACTGCTGGAGGTACTGCTGGTGCTGGAGCTGCTGGAGGTACTGCTGGTGCTGGAGCTGCTGGAGGTGCTGGAGCTGCTGGTCCCGGAGGTGTTCGTACTGGAGGTACTGGAGCTGCTGGGGCTCGTGGTGCTGCAGGAGTTGGAGCTGGAGGTGCTGGAGCTGTTGCTGCTGGCGGTGCTGCTGGAGCTGGAGCTGCTGGAGGTGCTGGAGCTGGTGGTGCTGCGAGAGTTGGAACTGGAGACCCTGGAGCTGGGGGTACTGGTGTTGTCTCTGATGTTTCTGGAGGCGCTGCGCGGCCGCGGCCGTACTACGCTCCGCTCCTTCAGCAGGTTCTTGGCCTCCCGCCTTCAACTGGTCCTACTCCTCTCTTACTAAGTCCACAGCCTGACCAGTCGCAGTCGCAGTTACAGCCAGCCTCTCCACTGCCTGGTCCTTCTCCTTACTCTGGGCCGACTAGAGGTCTTACGGAGCGTCGTGAGCCAGAGTCTCGTCCTGCGTCACCTGAGTCCCGTCCTGCGTCGCCTGTTCGCGCTGTCCGCACTGGTCGTCGTGTTCCGCGTCAGCGTCCTCCCCCTGTCCCCGGCACACACCTGATGGCACTTCGTCCTTCCACTGCTCCGCAGCGTGTCCCTCTGCCGTCTCCTCCTGCGTCCTCTCTTCCTGATGGTCAGGACCCGGAGTCTGACTCCCTTCGTGCTGCTAGTCCTACTGTCACGCGTCTTCTGGCCAATGTTGTCACCGACCCTTCGTTTGAGTCCACTGCTGCGTCTGCTCTAGTTGCTGAGCTTGTTGACTTTGCTGCCGCCTGTCGTCTAGACTACGCCGCTAGTCTTGTTGCTGAGTCTGAGTCTGAGTATGTCTGTCCTCCGTCCGTCGGGGGTAAGTGTGCTCTTGGCACGGACGTCCTTGAGGACAGACAGGAGGAGTTTGAGTGCTTTGCCGCTGCTTTACCTCATCTCGTGTCCATGCTGCTTGCACCTGAGGGAGACCCGGATGCACCAGACATCCCGACCCTGCGCTCTTACGCAGAGGCGACAGAGGGTCCCTACTCCTCTCAGTGGCAGACAGCCATGGACGCAGAGATGGCTTCCTGGAAGTCCACAGGCACCTACGTCGACGAGGTTCCCCCGCCTGGGGCGAACATCGTCAGTGGCATGTGGATTTCCAGGGTGAAGCGGCCGCCGGGTTCTCCGCCTGTCTTCAAGGCGCGTTACATTGCACGAGGCTTCAGTCAGCGAGAGGGAGTTGACTTCTTCCAGACCTTCTCCCCTACCCCGAAGATGACCACTCTTCGGGTTCTACTGCACATCGCCGCTCAGCATGACTACGAGCTTCACTCTCTTGACTTCAGCACTGCTTTCCTACAGGGCAGCCTGCACAAGGAGATCTGGCTGCGCCGCCCACCTGGCTTCACTGGGTCGTTTCCTGCTGGTACCCAGTGGAGCCTCCGGCGGCCAGTCTACGGTCTCCGCCAGGCGCCCTGTGAGTGGCACGACACACTGAGGACAACTCTTGCTGCTCTTGGGTTTGCTCCTTCCACTGCTGACCCGTCGCTGTTTCTACGTCGCTGTTTCTCAGCACCTGACAGGTGTATGAACCGGTTGGACCAACTGGCATTTTTGTCCCAAGGGACCGGTTGGACAAACTGGCTTGTTGGTCCTATGGACTGGTTGGACCAATTGGCTTGTTGGTCCAATGGACCGGTTGGACCAACTGGTCTTTTGGTCCTATGGGCCGGTTGGACCAACAGGCTTGTTGGTCCAATGGACCGGTTGGACCAACTGGCCGGTTGGTCCTATGGACCGGTTGGACAAACAGGCTTGTTGGCCGAATGTACCGGTTGGACCAATTGGCCTGTTGACTGAATGGACCGGTTGGACCAACTGGCCTGTTGGTCCTATGGACCGGTTGGACCAACTGGTCTGTTGGTCCTATGGACCGTTTCGACCAACTGGCCTTTTGGTCCTATGAACCGGTTGGACCAACTGGCATTTTTTTCCCAAGGGACCGGTTGGACAAACTGGCTTGTTGGTCCTATGGACTGGTTGGACCAATTGGCTTGTTGGTCCAATGGACCGGTTGGACCAACTGGTCTTTTGGTCCTATGGGCCGGTTGGACCAACTGGCTTGTTGGTCCAATGGACCGGTTGGACCAACTAGTTTGTTGGTCCTATGGACCGGTTGAACCAACTGGCCTGTTGGCCGAATGGACCGGTTTGACCAACTGGCTTGTTGGTCCAATGGACCGGTTGGACCAATTGGCCTGTTGGCCGAATGGACCAGTTGGACCAACTGGCCTGTTGCCCGAAATGGACCGGTTGGACCAATTGGACTGTTGACTGAATGGACCGGTTGGACCAACTGGCCTGTTGGTCCTATGGACCGGTTGGACCAACTGGCCTGTTGGTCCAATGGACCGGTTGGACCAACTGGCCTTTTGGTCCAAGGGACCGATTGGACCAACTTGTGTGTTGGTCCTATGGACCGGTTGGACCAACTGGCGTGTCTGTCCCATGGACCGGTTGGACCAACTGGCCGGTTGGTCCTATGGACCGGTTGGACAAACTGGCTTGTTGGCCGAATGGACCGGTTGGACCAATTGGCCTGTTGACTGAATGGACCGGTTGGACCAACTGGCCTGTTGGTCCAATGGACCAGTTGGACCAACTGGCTTGTTGGCTGAATGGACCGGTTGGACCAATTGGCCTGTTGACTGAATGGACCGG